CTGGGGTCTTGTTGCTAACACTAAAGCACTGATAATGAATAATGGCTGCAATAGTAACTGGATTGATAGCACTTGTGTTTCTATGGAAACTCATTTTCACTCACCATAAACTTGCAGTTTACTAACTTGCTTATATGCATTGCTACTAATTAGCATCTCCTTTGGCACTTTCTAAAAATTAGTGTAAGATTGGACCAACATCTTTAAACATGTGAACAATCAATGACAATAATATAATTATAATAATTCATAGTTACATTATGATACAATATTAAAAGTTTAATGATGATTTTTAATAATAATTATAAGGTGTTTCATCTTTAACAATTCTTCGAGTCTTTTCCTTCTTCTTGTGATTGTGATGTTTCTTCCATGGTTTAGCATCACTACCAACTTTATCGTCGGTTTTATGACCACCAGACACACCCACAACACCTTTACTATGTACAATACCTTCGCGCTACATAAAAGAAGAAAGGAATCCATTACATGAAGAGAATGAAAGAGAAGATTTATTCTCTTACCTTACTAAAGAAGGAGTGGTCAAAGTTTGGAGTATCAGTAATAGAATCTGATTCTAATTCAGCTGAAGTTGAAGCCATTCCAGTGTCTGCTATTAGTAAATGTTCATTAAATGTCACTGGATCAGTTCCAGGCGGAGCCTCACAATATAATATCTTGCCCTACTCAAAGTAATAAATTCACTGTCCGGTTAATTAGAATCTTACATTCACGAAATCTTTTAAAATGTACCGGGCAGCACGTGATTGGTCAGGCTGACCATGAGAAGTCATGAATCCTCGAGAATCTGAAGGAAACGAGAAACTAAGGAGAGATAGATAGGATATACTTACAGGCGTAAGGTGACAGTAATTCATGTGAAAATGGCGGTCTTCTAGGATCTTCTCCTTCCAACGGAGGCTGAATCCTGATACCATAGCAACGCTCTAAAACTGGGCCTGGCACTTTCTGACACACCTACTCCACAAAAATAGATTGGAAAAGAGTTAAATGATTGTTACCAAGGAAACAGGAGGAACGTGATCCCTCATCTGATCAATTGGTAGTATCCCGTTGATGATCAGCTGAGCCTTTGTTGATATAAAGTTAGGGAACACTAGCCCAGGGCAGTCACATAAAATGACATCTTCATTCACATGTAGCGTCTACAAGACACAATGTAATAACTGAAAAGTATTAATAAGTGGAATTGGATCTAAATGTAAGCATGTGTATCAGTAAAAATTGAGAATTCTCTACTTTCCATTTTTGGCAAAATTTGGCCAAACCCCCTGTACTATAGTACAGGGACTTTTACCCAATTTTGCATCAACTTTTAAAATTCGTAAAAAATCCTATTTCGATTGGAATCAGCTCAAAATTTCTACACAACATAAGAACATGTATATGTATCAGGGAATGTTATAAAAATTGAGAATTCTCTACTTTTCATTTTTGGCAAAATTGGACTTGAGACAAACCTGAAAGTGCTTAGTCCGACCTGGTGTTGCTGATACAGGTACCCTCTTAGTACCCATCAATGCGTTGATCGTAGAACTCTTACCAACATTAGGATACCCAACTAAACCAATTGTCACTGGACGTTCTACATGGGCGGATAACATATCATGTGACTATCACATGACTTACTGTCACTTGGAGCTAAACTCATGAATAATTCAATGAGCTCAGTTCGTGTTAATAATGCTGGTCCACTTGTATCTGCACTAGCCCCGCCCACTGCCACACCTCTTACATCAGTTGGCTCAGGGACAATCTTCTCTGAGGTATTGTTGCTAGGGGGGCTCCCCTCATCAGGGCTGGTACCCTCTGATTGCTCAATGTCTTCATTTTCTACTTTAGCTGACCAAAACCCAACGGCTTCAAAACCACGTTGAGTTTTTAAATATTCGGACCAAACCTTCCTAAAGTGTAATAATAATGATAATAATAATGTTATTATATTTAAGTAATTAATTATACCTTTGATTATCTGTCAGTAAATCTGATTTGCTCATTAAAAGCATGTTAACTTTACTGGGATCAGCCTCTTTCACATATTGATCCTGATAATAATTAAGTAATAATAATAATAATAATAATAATAATAATAATAATAATAATAATAATAATAATAAAGCAAAACTCTTTTACCAAATCTTCACAATAAAACAGCAGCGGATTTCTAGCATCAACAATCTGAACCACAACATCACTACAATAGCATAACAATCAATCCACCATTTTTATAGTTAAATACCTTCTCTCGATTACCCGCCAGAGTTGCCGCCAAAATTCCAGATTCCTCTCGAAAGGAGTTAATATTATTTTTTCCCTTTCCTCTAAGGTGGCGAGGTGTCTCCTCCATTCAATAAAACCGTCTCTCTCTCTTTGTTCTAATTCCTCGGGTGTAGTGTCTTTATCCCATCGTGGTCTATAGTATTTTAATTAAATAATAAAAACTTGGGGATGTAAAATAGATTCTACAATGAGGTTCTTAGATCTGATATCTCTCTCCTTCTCTGCAATTATGTATGTGCATTCACCTTCTTGGTATCCTCAGATCTTGCTTGAATTTCTCTTGAATTTCTTTAATCTCTCTCTTTTCCTCTGCCCCTGGCAGTCCAGTGTGTTTCTCTGCATCCATTACAACGCTGATGTTAAGTTTCTCTACAAGACACATCATTAAAAACTGTAAGGGTAATAATTAACGAGCCTCCACCCACATCTCTCGTACTTATATTACGTGCACATGTCCATACCAGCTGTAAATTCAGTCCCAGCAAGCTCAGCTGTCCTCAGGAACTCGTCAAGACTGTTCTCTTCAGTAACAGACGCTACGTTGAGCCTGCCCCACTCATACCCGTCAGACAGCTCACTGGTATGCAGCTAATAGACAACTTTAATCTTTGCTTTACACTTATTCGCTACTCTTACCCATTCTTCTCCTCCTCCTCCCTTTCTCCCTCGCCGCCTGTTCTTCAGTAATGCTTTCCCAAGGCCACTTTGTCCTTTGCTCTTAGCCATGTTGCATAATCCAGTAGCGCCACGCCTTTGTAGCCACTCCTAGAGCCACGTGAGTGCACATGGTTCTCTACTGAAAACTTTGGATCGACATAGAGGATCACTTTGGAGGATCAGTTGTAGTCTTGATGGATCAAGGTAACCAAGAATAGATTCTATTACCTCATAAATTACTGCTTTCTTTCTTCCTAGGGTGGGCAGCAGTATAGCGCTACCTCCCAGTGGTGCTGCCTGGGATCACTAGTATCTGGTACTGCTAGTGATGCCAAATGTGCTATATGAAGACAAGTTTAAGAGATGGAATGAGCATTTAATTGATCATGAATTGTTGCTTCAAGGTATGTTCGACACTTATCTTATAAATAATTAACTTAATAAACTGCAGCTATCAGTTAAAGGATAACCATACAAAGTATAAACTCTTTAAAACAAAAAAAGGACGGGGAAAGTCATGAGAATTAAAAGCAAGTGTTTTGTTTAATTCTATGTGTGTCACTTCTTCTTGCCTTTTCCTTTCTTCCCATCTTTACCAGGAACTCCTGCTGGCTGACGCTTGTAAGCCTGCACTGCATGAGGTGAATCTGGAGAAGGCCTATCTCCACCTTGTGCTGGATAATAACCAGTTAATTGCTACAGAAATATAATAATGATGATGATGCTAGTAATTCATTTTTAAAAATATTTTTTACTGGATCAGTTCCCTGACGTTGTAGCCTTGTTGATGCTGACTCAGCAGGTCTAACCATCACTCGCTCAGTTCCCTGCCCCTGCCCCCTGTACTGGCCGTTACTGGGCATTGTGGCTGGCACTAGTCGTAGACTATCATTAATAATTTAATAATTAAATACTAACGGGATTGAGTAGGTGAGCTGGCAGCGACTGGTCTAGATGAATGAGAGAAAGATGCTCCACCTGGTGGTCCTCCTCCTCTAACTTGAGCTGCTTTTTTATGAGCTACAATCTCTGCCTTCTGCAATCTCTTGGCCAGCTCCTACAGGAAGAAGGAAGCCATAGTTATTGATAATAATGATGTTCCTTACCCAGTCATTCATCTCTTGCTCGCTGTGCTGTCGGTACAGGTCTGATTTCACTCTCTGAGCAATTTCCTATTGTCGTCATGGTAACTTTTGTGGTTGTCATGGTGATACTTACGGCATCCGCTTGAACCTGTGACTCCATTTTTCTCTGTCTCTCTCTCGCTTCAAGCTCCATCCTACGAGCAATATCCTTAAAACAAACAATAAACAAATGATAACAATAATGACAGCGACTAACTGCATCGCTCGGATGTCCAGTTGGTTTGGGCCTTCCTCCTTTAGACTCCATTTCTTGCAATTTACGAGCCATTTCCTGTAAAATTAATAACATTAATTTCATTATTTTAATATCTTAAGTACTTACAATATCGGCTAATTCTTGTTCCCTCCTCTGTACAAAAAAGAGACTGATACCCCATAAGTAACATCAATACACTTACCCTTCTTTGTGCTTCCCTTTCTTCTCTCTCAAGCAGTTCCCTTGCCAGCCTTGCGTCTTCATCTTCCTGCCTGGCAGCTTCATCAACATACTCCTCTTCCTCCTCACCCCCGGTGGGTGGGGGAGGAGGAGGGAGAGAGAATCCTAGTTCCTCATATGATGGCAGGTCCATTCCTGAAGGTTTGGCCTCCATTTGTTGAAGACGTCTCGCCTCTTGTTCTCCAAGAGCGGCTTCTTGCTGTCGTCTTTTTGTGAGGCTTTCGTTCTCTTGAGCGTGTTGTAGTGCAATACGATTGTCTTCCTATTTAGTTGTAAGGAGTAACTAGTGTGGGTGGTTTTGGTAATGGCGAACCTCTTCTTGTCGTTTTCTTTGTGCTTCTCTCTCCATTTCTTCTCTGTGGAGTCTTCGCACTGCTTCTTCATCCTGCCTTTGCTAATAATAATAATAATAATAATAAATATTATTTATTTATATTATTACTCTCTGTTGAGTTTGTTCCTCTTGTTGCTGGATTTCATGTGCGTATCTTTCAGCTGCTTCTCGATCTCTTTCTTCTCTAAAAACAATCATTATCATCATCATCATCATCATTATTATTACTAACTGTTCTCTAAGTCTGTCCCTTCTAACGCTCTCCTCCTGATTATAAGCACTCATTTCTGTTGCTTGGTAAGACTTGGCCATCTGAGCATCTTTCATGGCAGTACGTCTGGCTTGAACGTTAGAATCAAAATGATCTTCATCTAATGAGAGAAAAAGAGAGAGAGGGATAGGTTGGGTGATTTAACATGTTTAGCTTGCTAATGAGTGACCATGTCTGGAATTATTTAGCTTTACATGTCTGGAAGCATGTGATACTAATTATTTTACAATTATTAATCAATATTACAGACTATAAACAGAAACCCACTCCAATCCCACACTGTGTATACTGTGTATACAGACCAGTCCATAGGTAGATATTGTTTACAAAGAAAAGGCATTGAAAACAAAACCAAAACATCATTTCACACAATCATACACACACTCGTGATAATACCCACTACTTTACCATACATGTACACTGTTCACTATACCACTCTCCTCCTCTTCTATCAATAACATGTTGTCTCAAGTGGCTATGTGCTGCATTAAATGTATATCTCCCTCTCTCTCACTTCCTTTTGCTTCAATGCAAGATAAACACTGACTTACAACACATTGTACTAACATAAACAGTACAAATGATGCTATTGGCACTGATAGAGAGCACAAATATAAACAAATAGCTAATGTCATTAGCTGCAATAACTGTTGCACCATGGACATCAATATAACTACTACATAGTTTAGAATGGTCGCATAGTGTGATGCCCATTATAGTACGTCTTTTTATAGTGTTACTACTTACACTCTTTCTCTTGCAACTGCTTCGCTATTACGTGATCTTCACGAACTTGAAAGTCCTTTTTAACTAGAGAAGAGAGGACAAAGAAGAGTTATAAGGATGAAAAGCTACGCTTGAGTGATATTGCTGTAGTGTTGTTTGATGAACTGTGGATAATGAAAGGGCTACCTCGTCCTACTCCGGGAAGATTCTCCTCTAGCAAAGACATAATGGAGAGACAAATACAAATATAGCTCGGAGAAGAAGTTGAATGAAATTGTAGTAGCTCACACGCCCAACTGTGACCTCAAGGGTAATTAACTGCAGTATGAGACTGGACTGAGAACTGCTCCCGGTATGAAAGATTTGAAGTTTAAGTATGGAAAGGACTGGAAGGTGTCAATTGTGGGCGGTGTCATGGGTGTGGTCTAAAGTTAATTAGAGGTGATACGGTATTGCAAATCATTCTGTTCATTCACTAAAACACACATACACGTGAAAACAGAAAGTTATACACAAAGGAAAGTCTCCTCCTCCTTGTAGCTCAGAGCTCTCCTTTCACTTGATCCAGCCCTTCTCATCTCTACTAGCAGTAGGAGTCATGTCTTCATCTTTAACAGGAACTGAAAGAGGAACAGAATCAGCTTGGTATGCAACCAAAATTCTTATTATGCACTTTCTTTTATTTTACAGGACTCAGCCATTGTCTGATAAGGTGACCACGCCCACAACACTCCCAGCGTCTCTCCCCAAGTTACCGTTAGCTCAGTACAGGTACGGTCGTGAGGAGATGCTCCTCTTCTACACTGGGGAGGTTCCTTTCCCAAAGGACATGAGTGTGATACATGCTTTGGCTCGGAACGACACCATAGCCCCTCTTGCAATTAGTCCACTATCGCCACAAGAACAGGTGGGTGTGGCTTGAATTAATTACGTTAATATTTTTCTTGTAGAACGTTTTGAGCGGACGTGTTAATTCTGATAGTAGTTATTCCGTGCGTGGGCGGGGTGGGTACTCGGGGAGAGGGAGAGGTGGGCGGGGTAGAGGAGGAGGACGACCGGATTATCTTCGTAACTTGAGCAGCAGCGGAGGAGGAGGAGGAGGGGGAGGGGAGGAGTCTCAGAGAACAGGCTATCATCGATCAAACAGCGAATCTGAAAAACCCGATGACATGATTAGGTACAGTCAATATAATCAATCAATTAATTAATAGGGGCGGGGATAGAGGTAGCCGTGCTTCTCAGGATACTAACTGGAGGTTGTCTAGTCAGCAAAAAGAGGTGGCGTGGGTTGGGAAGTCGTGGAGTAGCTCGACGAGTCCAGTGAAACCAGTGAAGGAGAACCCGTGGGAGGGAGGGGGAGGAGGGAGGGGCAAGAAACACTGGCAGGCTGTACCTGACTGGGCCACTGACGATGCTAACAAGCAACAAGAAACAGTCGCTGAAGTACGTGTATATGTACATGTATTATTAATAGGTATAGTGTTGGAGCTAAATTTTGAGAGACCAGTCTACATGTATAACTAAAAATGTGAGACTTAAAGAGACCTAGGCTAAATATGAGAGACCAAATGTCTCCTAAACTCCCTCTAGATCTAACAGTGTTACTAGAATAGTATCAATGATGTCATCACTATTGTGTTACTATTTTTAGACTCCTGACGAAGAGACAAAGAAGGAGGAGCAAGATCTTAATGAAGTAATTAATTATTGATCATTACATTAACATAATTATCGGATCTTTTTTGTTATAGGATGTGTTTGAGCCGGTTGCTATTGACAACGAAACCACACCCATCACAATACCTAAAGAACCAGATCGCATCACGTCGACTGATTCTGTGGAGGAAATGGAGAGAAGATTTGAAAAAGTAATCAATTATTTAAATTATTAATTGATTTAATTAATAATACCTTAGGTTGCTGAGGCTATAATTTCAACGGAAGATGAGGACACACCCTCTCAGTCACCCAACCCCTCCCACTGTCCATTGCCGTTAACAAACAATGCAGATATCAACCAGTGGTATTACCAGGACCCTCAGGGAGACACTCAAGGTAGCCATGATAATAATGTTGATTAGCTCATTCCGATCAAGAAGGGTTTGTATGAATTTTAAAATTGGTCCAAAATCAGACCAAAGTCCCTGTACTATAGCACATGGTCTCGGGCTAAATTTTGCCAAAAATCAAAAGTAGAGAATTCTCAATTTTTATAACATTCCCTGATACATATACATGTTCTTATTTTGTGTAGAAAGTTTGAGCTGATTCTGATCAAAATTGGATTTTTTTACAAATTTTTAAAGTTGCTCCAAAATCGAGTAAAAGTCCCTGTACTATAGCACATGGTCTCGGGCCAATTTTTGCCAAAAATGAAAAGTAGGGAATTCTCAATTTTTATAACATTCCCCGATACATATACATGTTCTTATGTTGTGTAGAAAGTTTGAGCTGATTCCGATCAAAATTGGATTTTTTATGAATTTTTAAAGTTTCTCCAAAATCGGGCCAAAGTCCCTGTACTATAGTACATGGTCTCGGGCCAAATTTCGCCAAAAATGAAAAGTAGAGAATTCTCAATTTTTATAACATTTCCTGATACATATACATGTTCTTATGTTGTGTAGAAAGTTTGAACTGATTCCGATCAAAATTGGATTTTTTACGAATTTTTTAAGTTGCTCCAAAATCAAGTAAAAGTCCTTTGCCATGGTCACAGTACTTATCACTAGGAGAGATTTTTAATACATTTTCTCTTACATTATTATTAGGTCCTTTCTCAAGCAGTGAGATGTGTAACTGGTATCAAGCAGGGTATTTCACTTTGAGTCTTCACGTTAAAAGAGGCTGTGACATGATGATGCTACCATTAGGTAATTAACTAGTGGGTGTGGTCAATAATTAATGGGCGTGGTATAACTCTCATTTCATATAGGTCAGATTGTTAGGATTTGGGGCCGTAACCCTTTTGTTCCGGGACCACACCCACCCCCTCTTCAGCACTCAGAGCCATACTGGCAGCAGATTTTAAACCAAACCCAACTGTTTCCAGAGATACCGTCAAAGCCACACCCACAACAGCCTAAACAGCCGTCTCAGGATTTCACCAGCCCAATATGGGGTGTGTTATCGTCAAAGGATATTGTTGCAGAGGAAACGGTTGCCAAGGAGATAACGTCTGGTGAGGATCAGTGGCCTGACTTGGGTAATGTTGTAGGAGGTGGACTGAGCAACGAAGAGGAAAGAAAAGAGAAAGCTCGGAGGGAGGAGGAGGCCAGGTTAGCATATATCCTACCAGCTGGTAATTGTTGAGGATAGAATTTAGGCCACTTTTGGTGATTGGCGGGTTTTAATTTTGTGAATTTGTGTGCAAAAATTACTGTAATTAAAATGGCTGGTTTTAGTAAATGGTTGTATCAAAATTTGCCAAAATGGCCACTATTAAAATTACCAGAACTTTGACGGTTTTTTTTTGTTATTTTGTCGTTAGATTGTTAGCTGTAGAGGAGGAGAGAAAGAGGCTCTATGAAGAAGAGCAGAGACGACTGAAAGAGGAGGAGGAGGAGGAAAGGAAACGGAGAGCAATGGAAGAGAAGAGAAGAGAAGAAGCAGCAGCTGCAGCCGAGAGACAACGAATAAGAGAAGAAGAGGAACGGAGGGAGGAGGAAAGAAAGAGACAGATAAGAGAGGAAGAATTGAAGAGGAAAGTGATGGAGGAGGAGAGAAAGAGAAAGGAAAGAGAGGAGAGACAGCAGAGGGAACTCCAACAGAGATTACAATTGGAGGAAGGAGGAGGTAGGGAGAGTGAGAGCTCTTGTATTAATAATAATATTCATGAGTAGGTACAGAGGCCACACCTACAGTGCCACGCCCTTCGTTACTTGACATTCAGAGAGAGGAGGAAATTGTAAGTAGTTTCTAAACTGGCTCTGAAATCACTCCAAATTTTTATTACATTTTCTGATACATATTGATGTCCTTATGCTGTGTAGAAAGTTTGGGCTGATTCTGACAATTATTATTATTTTTATTTTATTTTTAGGCTTATAAGCAAGAAATGGAGTCTCGGGAACAAGAACTATCAGAAGCTCAAAAAGAGTTCTTAAAACAAGAGGCAACGAAATCGACGCATTGCTGGAACAAACAGCCAACAGCACCCAAAGCACCTGCTACTAATAGCAACAGTATAAAGAACAAGTCATCTTTTCTTGCCATACAGCAGGAACAGAAACAATTAGAGGCTTCTACTACTGATCCTGTGGGCGGGGCCAACTCATTTAGCTCCACCCATAAGGCAACGGTCAGTCAATATCTTTATTGATATTATTTTATTTTTTTGTTTTAGACGCCCATCGGGGGAGCTTCTTGGAGTAAAATAACCGCTGGAAATAGACCCCAGAACCCTCCCTGGGGGTCCAATCATTCTTCAGTTCAGCCGATATCTCCAGCTTATAGCCCACGGCCACTTTTAGCGACGCCTCTTTTGCCAACTAGCGGAGGAAATAGTTCTTCATTTTGGGAGGAGTGTGCCCTTGACAGCATGAGGGGAAAGAGGAGCGAAGTGAAGGGTAGAGGAAGAGAGAAACAAGGTATGGCAGCCATCTTGATTTCATTGCTAGTAATCCTGTTGCTACAGGTAATAATGGAAGCAGTGGATCCGTAGGCGGGATGATGAACAGGAGTAATAGTAAAGAAGAGGTGTGTATGATAATTAACTATTTTGTTTATTTATTTAATTATTTGTTTATTTATACTTGTGTACGTGTGTTTGGTAGGAGAGAGTGAGGCAATTGTTTACAGGTGCTTCTCCTGATGAGGCATTTACTGACTGGTGTAAGAGAGAGCTGGATAAATACAACAGTGATGTTGATGGTAATAACCACTCACATGTACATGTACATGTACACCATAATTGTATAGACACTACTGTACATGCAGAAATGTATTTTGAGAGACCAATCTATGACTAAAAATGGGATACTTAAGGACCCCTAGGGCTAAATATGAGAGACTAAAAGTCTCCTAAACTCCCTCTAGATCTAACAGTGATCATTTGTTCTTACTTTACCGTTCCTCCCTCTCTCTTCTCTCCAGCTGTTACTTTTGTTAGCCTGTTGCTTGAGGTGGAGTCAACTTATGAAGTTCATGATTATATAAAATCATTTCTTGGTGAGACGGATGAAGTCCATTCATTTGCTAAGGAGTTTTTAGAAAGAAGACAAAAAATACGAAACTATAAGCAGACAAAAACTCAACAACAAGTAATAGTTATTTAACATTAATTTAATATTATTTAAAACGGACATTTATAACTTAGAGTAAGAAACCGTCAGCTGGTTCTACAGGAGGAGGGGAAGCTCACAGTGGAGGAGGAGGGGGAGGGTCTTCCACTCGTAGTTCTAAAAAGAAGAAAAAGGGAGGGGGAGGAGGAGCAGGTGGGAAAATGCAAAAGGTCTCCGCCTCTAGCCTCCTTGGGTTCACTGTGAATGCAGCTGAAAGACCAAACGCCGGAGAGATACAATCTGCCAAGGACGCTCTGTGACAATAATAATGATAACAAATAATAATAATAATAATAATAACAAATTTAATAATTAAAATAAATTTATAATTATTTTCACTATTGTGAAGAAAAAATAATGATTGGTTATTTAACTATTATTGTTAATAACCAGTAATGGTCACTTGATTTTAATATCATAACCAGTCACACAAGAATGGCGTTTGCTGGCAGAGTTGTACTCTTCACTATCCCTGGATGTAAGTTCTGTAGACAAGCAAAGACACTGCTAGGAGACTACCACGTCCCTTACTTTGACGTGGACCTCTCCAAGTATCCCGAGAGACGCTACGAGATGAAAGAAAGGACTGGCAGGAGCTCCGTCCCTCAAATATTCTTCAACAACAGGCACATTGGAGGCTGGGATGACATTAAAGCACTGGTAAGAAAACTGGTCTTGGAATTTGCTGCAAAGAAACACAAACAAGTCATTGTTTCTCTTATAATGCTCCGTATAATCACACCTGGGTTGTTATTATGTTTTTTGTTTTTTTAAACTTCATGATTCTTTATTTCTTAGCATGATGAAGATAAGTTGGTACTGTTGATAGAAGAGACAGCAGAAGAAGAACCACCTCCGGACGCTCCTCTTCCTCCCCCAGAGATTGACTCACCTCCGGAAGAAGATGGCGAAGTTGTTTTGCTACCTAGCCAAAGAGATTGTTAGTTATTCCATGGATATGGTTATTCATACCGTTTTCATTTTTCATTTCCAACACATCCTTCCTCTCTCTCCCTCCTTTAGCAGCTGGCGGTAAAAGAGACTGCACTCCTGATGAACTAGCTGCTTTATGTAAAGAGATACAAGACAGTTCTTTGGTTAAAACACACACTTATCATCTCATCAGTTATAAAAACAGTTTTGTTGGCCGTGAACTTGTTGAGTGGCTCATGCATAGGAAATCAATGCGTATGTTGATTAGCCCTTTCTAAGAAGGACACCATTGGGCCCACACCACCTGTCCTTATTATTATAATAATTATTATTATTAGGTAGAGAAGAAGCACTGTCTTTGGGTAAAGACCTCATGAAGCGACACTTCATTCACCACGTGACTTACGAACATGATTTTGAGGATGAGTACTTATTCTATAGAATGTTGGACGACGTGAAGACAAGATCCCTCAATGCAGCTCTCTCTAGCCATTGCCTACCAAGAAAAGGTAAAGAGAGAGGGAGAAAGAATTAATGTTATCTCTCTTCTTCTTTTTAGCTGTTGATATTGCTGATGATCTCCGCAAGCTGATTCTTGAGATATACGACGAACACCTTTCACCAGATGGATTCGTAAGTGCATCATCGTTGCCATAGTTACGTATGCCGCACCCCCACAGGCTGTAGACTACAAGGGTATCAGTACCAGCCCAAAATTCGAAGAATATGTGCGAGCAACAGCCGAACTGAAGCGTGCTGATATAGTCAATTTATGGAGACAAGAGAAACTGGCTTTGTTCATTAATGTTTACAACGCACTAGTGATACATGCCTTCGTAGTACAAGGACCTCCAACCAGCACATTTAGAAGATTAATGGTGAGAAAGAGAGGGAAGGGAGAGAGAGAGAGAGAGAGAGAGAGAGAGAGAGAGAGAGAGAGAGAGGGAGTATTAGCAGGAAGGATACAGTTGTATTTCTATCAGTGTATGTTGATACTTTTAATGAGATGTTTGCCAATCATTGATTATAGTGATAAGGATCGATCCCTGATTAATATAGTAATTGTATTTATTTGTATTATAGTTTTTTAATAAGACCAGTTACGTTATCGGAGGTCAAGAGTTTTCACTCAACGACATTGAGAGTGGTATTCTCCGTGCAAACAGACGTCCTGTCGCTACCTTCAAGAGACCTTTCTCCCGCCATGACCCCAGGTAATTAATTATAATTAATTAATTGGTTATTGCCACGCCTCTTTAGACTGCCTATAGCACTTGACGAAGTTGAGCCAAGAATTCATTTTGCTCTTGTGTGTGGAGCTAAAAGTTGCCCTCCTATAAAGACCTACACTGCTGCGGTAAGTCATCTTATAGTGTGATGTCATGTGACATCACACTATGATGTCATGTGACATCATGTGATGTCATGTGACATCATGTGATGTCATATTTATATAGAATATTGATGAAGAGCTGAAATTTTCTACCGAAGCATTTCTTGAGTCTGATAACGTGATGGTTGATTTGACCAGGAGAGAGGTGAGGGATTAATTAATTAACGGGTGTGGTCAGTAATAGTTAATTAATGGGTGTGGTCTGTTGCTATAGGTTACTCTTAGTATGATCTTGAAATGGTATAAAGTCGACTTTGGTTCAAACAATCAACAAGTCCGTGTTATTAATTAATTATAATTAATTGATAAATTCTTTAGGTTCTTGAGTGGATTTATGCTCACATGCCTGATAGCGAAAAGAGGCGGAGCCTCAAGTCGTTAATCGATTCCGGAAATTATCGTATGAAGTATTTCAAATATAATTGGGATGTCAACTCATCTTAAGTAACAGTTTTGCTCCTTCAGTTAAACGATAATTGTAACAATGCTAATAATCATTATAATTTTTATCTCATAAAAGTAACTAATATTTAATTATTGTTTTTGATCAAGAGTTTTACAAAAAATAATCATTATTTTTAAGAAGCCATTTTTATTGGGCGTGGTTTGTATTAATCATGCCACGCCTACAATTAACACATTATTATTGCATCTTTTCTGCCGACCGAGAACTTAACAAAATGGAAAAGACTGCAGAGATTCAGTTAAGTATGAATGATGTAGAAAAAGGCTATGCCGAAAACTTGGAGAGTAGTCTGATCGCTCAAGAAAAAAAGATCTCAGTAGTCCTACCCACTACACCTAAGCACCAGCAGCTAATAAAAGGGATCAGTAGCCCTGCTCATGCTAACGGTAAAGACTACACTGACTTTACTGCCGAGATTAAGCTTAGGAGGCAGCAGTCCTGCTGGTCTAAGATAAGCTCTGAGAGGAAAAAAAGGAAGAAGATCCTCTCAAAATGTGGTTTCATGTTCCTCTTACTTGCTTTCTTACAAGGTAAAGGACAAGGAGAGGTCCCTATTAGAGGCCTAGTCAGGCCATGGTGATAAAATTAGTTGTTTACTGTAAGGTCATAGTGCATGAAGTGTTGAGATCACAACAAACATGAAGCTACTAACTTGTTTGTCTTTCTTTTTCCTTTTGTCTACCTTCTCTCTACCCCCCCCCCTCTCTCTTTCTCTCTCTCTCTCTCTCTCTCCTCTCTCTCTTTCTTGCTGCTCTCCCTCCCTTTCATTTTGCAGTTTGCATTGTTATTGGTTTGCAGATTACAATTGCTCAGTTAGGAGAATTCCAATCCCAACGTTTAGAGGGATACGTGCCATGTGTGGAGGAGCAATTTATGCTGCACAACATGACGCTATTTGATAACAGCACCTACCCTGTAAGAGGAGAGAGAGAGAGAGAGAGAGAGAGAGAGAGAGAGAGAGAGAGAGAGAGAGAGAGAGAGAGAGAGAGAGAGAGATGGTAAGATGAGATACATGATAAAGTTTCTCAGAACCTTGTAATCGTTTGTTATTTTTAAGCTTGTAAAGTTTCCAGTGTACACAGACCCACTTAGTAGCTATAAAAAGTGTTATCAAGTGTGGCTGCTGTTAAAATCACAATTAATGAAATAAAAACTTGGGGAGTTTCCAAAAGCAATAGTAGCCTTGAGGCTTCAGCATGAAATGTGTTGTTTTTCTAGCAGTAGTGACATGTGTTGTCAACACACTCACACTTGGATATATTGAATTACATTTAATTGCAGAAAATATTTTAAGTAAAGCATGACATCACACATACATGCACCATGATCAGATTAATGTTTCCATATATTACTTTTATTAATAACCTCTCTAACTTCCCCTCTATCTTTCTCTTTCCTTTTCCTCTTTTAGTCATTTGGCTCAGACAAGCAAATATACGTATACGTCTTTGTATTTCTTATTGTCTACAACTTCTTCCTTTGCGTTTATGCAGTGAGTTATGGTTTTTAATTTATTTATTTAAATTTGTAACTTGTTTTTGTTGTTTTTTAGATGCTAGCTCAACGTATTGTCGAAGTGTTTGCTTTCATTGTAATCAACATTTTCACTATCGCCTACTCAGCACTACAAGGTAATACGATGGTGGTACTTGAATAATAATAATTATTATTATTATTTCTTTTTTTAATTGTTAAGTATATCAGTTCAGAGGATTCGGTCCATTTTGTGAATCAGTGACAAGAGTCGGTTGGATAGCATTAGCGAATGTAAGTCGTTAAATGTGTGGGCGGTATGATTAAATCATGTGACATATGATATCATTACTCATCCTAGGTTATCGTTGTCACGATTTGCAGTTTCATTTTTATTATTTTGACTTTTCAAATTTATGCCGAGTTCGGTTGGAAAGTCTACAAATTTGTGAATTGCAATCCAGCACTGAGATGTAAGTGGGTGTGGTTAATTGGCTGATGATTATTAACTTTTTTCTATTTTTAGATTATTATCGACTTTATGAGATATACTTGAGTTTAGTCAAGATGGTCATTATATTTACAGTAAGTCTGAGGGAAACTTGATGTATAAAAATTGAGAATTCTCTAATTTCCATTTTTGCCAAAATTTGGCCCAAGACCATGTACTATATAGTACAGGGACTTTGGCCCAATTTTGGAGCGACTTAAAAAATTTGTAAAAAAAATCCAATTTTGATCAGAATCAGCTCAAACTTTCTATGCAACATAAGAACATGTATATGCATCAGGGAATGTTATAAAAATTGAGAATTCTCTACTTTTCATTTTTGGCAAAATTTGGCCAAAATCCCTGTACTATAGTACAGGGACTTTTACCCAATTTTGGAGTAACTTTAAAAATTCGTAAAAAATCCAATTTTGATCAGAATCAGCTCAAACTTTCTACACAACATAAGAACATGTATATGTATCAGGGAATGTTACAAAAATTGAGAATTCTCTACTTTTCATTTTTGGCAAAATTTGGTCCGAGACCATGTACTATAGTACAGGGACTTTGGCCCAATTTTGGAGCAACTTTAAGAAGTTCGTAAAAAATCCAATTTTGATCGGAATCAACTTAAGCTTTCTACAAAACTGTATTTGTATCAGATCCTATTGTGTTGCTGTTATTATTTCCATTAGATTGCTTTCACCATTGGTCAAATGGCTCTTATACTAGAGTTGGATGATTCAGAATTCTGGCTGAGTATTCCACTGATTATTTCAATGATACTATTTTTCTTCTTTGCTTTCTTTATGGTAATGACAATCAGTTACAATTATCAGCATACTGTTATTATTATCACTATTATTTACATTATTATTATTATTATTATTTTATCTTATTTTTTAGGTAAGGAGAGAGAGTCACATTGGTATGTGTGTCATGCTAGTTGTTGGGTTATTATTATTCTGCTATTACATTTTCAAAATGTACAGGTAAGCCTTTAAAATTTTTGTATATTTATACATTAAAAAAAGAACTTCTTTACTGAATTTTTCTCCTAATCTGTTTATTTCCCTCTCTTTCTCTCTCATTTTCATTTTCTCTAAGATATGCTAGCCGATCGTGTCCCGTGTGCATTAAGAGAATGGATGAAATAGAAAGGCAGCAAAGGGAAGGGCAGTTCTTCAATGACGACAGGAGGGAGGACTTTCAGCATCTAATTATGATGGGTAATAATAATAATAATAATAATAATAATAATAATAATAATAATAATAATAATAACGTTAACTGAGAATGTGAAAATGAATGTAATGTGATCATCGTATAAAAAACATTTTGCTTCTTGCTAATAATAATAATAATTATTATTATTAAGTGTGTTTTTCTTTTCATTACGGCAGCTGCTCTTAACGAAGTGATTGTCATTGGTTACTTGATATGTCTGTGTAGAGTTTGGAGGCAGTACGGACACGGACTATCAGACCACTGTATGTAGCACACGTACACACTGTTAGATAAATAGAGGGAGGCTGTAATCTAACCAAATATGGTAGACATAGTCTCCTAAACTCTCTCTCTAGATATCTAACAGTTTGCATACACATACCATGTTTGTTTATTATTATTATTGTTATTATTATTGTTGTTGTTGTTGTTATTATTATTACCATTATTGTTGTTGTTGTTGTTAGTTTACATCAGAGGCCACTGGTTTGATAAAATCGGGAAGAAACCACCAAATGAAAATGCTTTCTTTGATGCACTCGGTAATTAATTATTCATTACTATTAATTAGTTAACGCCCACCTCATTAATTATTCATTGATAGGAACTGGAGAGGTCATCAGGATGAAATCAAAGGCTCAATTATTGGATGGTGTCGATGGTTTCCATGACGCCGACCAATCAAAAGAGGCCGATAATCGTGTGTCCGGAGACCTTGAGGGTTTTGAGGGAGCAGCTTTCACACCTTCGGACGAGAAACTCTCTCTCTCTTTTATGATACATCGTACGACATCTTTGCCACCAATATTGGAACACAGACATTAAATTTTATTGAAAATATCATTATTTTTTTACAGATAAATAATTATTGACATTGTTGTTATTATTGTTTATGCCTTTTTGTTGTTTTAAATTTTTTATTATTGTTGCTATTATTTTTTGTCATTTCAATTGTAATCGTTGCTTTACAAACTCTTCTATTATTGCACCTATTATGTGATCAGTAAAATTGAAGCAATGCCATATAAAGATATGCTGCAGTTACCTGACTCCTGTGCTACATCTACATTTATGTCTTCTCTTAATGACATGCTATGGAAGCTGCTGGTGCTTTTCTCTATGTTTCCCTTTGCTGCCCCTTGCTCCTTCTCCTCTACTTCTTTCTCCACTTCTTTCTCCTCTTCATTCTCTTCTCTTTCCGTTTCATTCTTGTCTTCAGAGAACACTTCAGCCTCAGCTGATGCTCTTGTAGGCTCATTTTTAATACTTTTCTCTTTAATCTTCATTTCTTGTTTCTTGTTTTGTTTCTCAGAGTACCATTCAAAAGATAAGTGGACAATGGCTTCTAAAAACTCCAGAAACACGATCTGAAGAAAGTGTATGAATATTAAAAAGAAAATAAAAGATCATTAATATAAAAGATGATTAATTATAAAAGATTATTAATATAAAAAATTATTAATGTAAAAGATTATAAATTATAAAAGATCATTAATCTCACTGGTAGCTCCATATTATAAATAAGATCATCATCATCATCATCATCAGCTATTGCCAGTGGCTGGAGACTAACTATTTCACTGACTATCAGTTGAGAGTCTAATCTCACATCACTTGTACAATCCTATACAATATCATAATAAAATAATAATTATTAATAATTAAGTAAAGTCCTTACTTTAATGAAAAATAACAGGTCCCTAAGTGTTGGTGTATTAGTGTCATCTCTCATTCCTTTATAAAGACTCCAAAGTGAATCAGTATATTTATCAAGTATAGAACTGCTTGAAAAAAATTGACCTAACATAATACCATAGTAATACATGTAGATATAATTATAATATATACAATCACTATCCTGTATTATTACCTTGTATGTCACATGCTCTTGGTAGGCAGTCGTTTCTCATAAATGAGTCAAAACATTTTGACAACTGAACGCTAGAAAAAGAAGCTTATATCCACTCTCTCCCTCTCTCTCACCTCTCCTGATGGTAAATGTGATAAGAAATGAAGAAGAGACATTGCAGGAACTCCCTCATTAAATATCTATCATTAATGATCAGTGAATCATCATCAACTCCAGAAGGACTCTCTCCACCTAAAATAACAGCAATAATAATGTATAATTTATTTACACTGTACCTTGACATGGTTTTATTATTTCATCAACTTGTGCTACAGTTAATCCATGCCTGTACAACTGACAGTCTCGCAAAAACTGCCACAGCTACAAACAAAAAGAAAAAATTAATATCAACATAATAATTATTATGTATACTTGTAGTCTATTGAGCATGTGTCCACAGTTGTTGCAGTGTGGGGCTGTCCCCAGTGTGCTGTATTTGTGATAAATACGTCTCAATTGTGTTAGGTATCTCAATATGACAGTGTGCACCTGGAGAGAGAGAGAGAGAGAGAGAGAGAGAGAGAGAAGGCCTAGGATAACATCAGTTTTATTCATACTGCTGCTGTACCTCTGTCATTTCATAATTAATGTCAGTACAACTCTCACTGATGAGTGATGAGACACAGAGCTTGAACTGCTCTGTTCTGCCTTTCTCAACACCATCAATATCACCTAGAAGAAAAAAAGATACATGTACATGTACCACATGCATACAGTTATGTATCATTATTGTGGCTTTGTTTCTACCTATTGCATTGCTTAGTGGGGTATTTGGTCTAAGAGGAAGATTCTCTTCTTTTGTCTTGCTGCTGGTCATTAGTTTGTCATCATAAAAAGTTCCTTCAATCTTGTCTCCATTAGGTGTGGTGTATTTGCCTTTTCCGTTCTTTTTATTGTTAATCCAAATGCCTTCAAAAACAGCACCACTAAATTAATGATGCTATTGGTAAAACAATTATTATTAATTATTTATTTACCAAGCATAATGAAAGGTACCCCATCCTTCTCTGATCCCATTATTCCAATCACCACTGTAACTATTATATACCGGATACTACAATGATGATAATAATAATAATAATAATAATAATAATAATAAATTAATAAATAAATAAAATAAATAATCCTCTTACTTGTGAATTATCAATATGACCAACAATCCAAATGTGAGTACCTTTACCATGCTGCTCAAATTAATAATAAAAATAAGAAAAACAATAATTTGTACCTGTATGCCATTGACCCAGTCACCAGTGTATCTCTCACCTTCTTCTTTCCAGTGCATCGTACCATGGCCATGACGCAGTCTATTCTTCCATTCACCATCGTACATGTTACCAGAACTATCAGTAAAAGATCAAAACTTAGTCATTAAAATCAGCTCAAACTTTCTAAAGTACATAAGAACATGTATATGCATCAGGGAATGTTATAAAAATTGAGAATTCTCTACTCTTCATTTTTGGCAAAATTTGGCCCGAGACCATGTACTATAGTACAGGGATTTTGGTCCAATTTTGGAGCAACTTTAAAAATTCACAAAAAATCCAATTTTGATCAGAATCAGCTCAAACTTTCTACACAACATAAGAACATGTATATGTATCAGAGAATGTTATAAAAATTGAGAATTCTCTACTTTTAATTTTTGGCAAAATTTGGCCCAAGACCATGTAATATAGTACAGAGACTTTGGTCCAATTTTGGAGTAACTTAAAAAATTTGTAAATTTACCTGTACAGTCTTGTTCCTCTTCCATTCTCCTTATCATCAAACCACTCACCATCATAATATGCACCTGAGCCATACTCCACTTTACCCTGTGTGGATGTGGTCATTATGTATATTAGCCACACCCCTTACCTTTCCTTGCCTCTTCCCTTTAACCCATTGACCAGTGTACGTCAACTGGCCGGAACGAAACACTCCATAACCATGACGATAACCGTCTTCCACTTCTCCTTTGTACCAACTAAAATAATAATAAAAATAATAATAATAATAAATAAATAAATATTAATTAATTACCTGTTATCCGTCCAGTGGTAAGTTCCATGGCCGGTAATCGAGTTCATTATAAAGTCTCCCTATAAATCACAGACCACGCCCATGGCTCCACCCATAACCACGCCCACAATCCTTACTTCATATATGGTTCCATCAGCCCACATGTATCGACCTCTACCATTTAACAATCCATTAACCATCGTACCCTGTTACGTTAAAAATGAACATGCACACCTACCCAATGTTTAATGGGTGGTAACTATACCTTGTAGCAATTCCCGTTTTTAAATTTAATGGTGATGCTTGCTCCCTCAGTACCAGCTAACGATAGATCAGTTAAACTATAAAGAGAGTAATAATATTAATATGGCGGATATACACATATACATGAACACTTGCTTTGTCTCCTCTGTAATGATTGTGGACAATGGAGGCCAGCTTAAAGTAAGGTCAGTACAATCACCAATACTAGAGCGAGCTAGTTTCCTCTCTCTCTCATTGTGGAGGCTGGAGAGAAGATGAGAAGTTGAGCTATAAGTGCTGCTGCTTGCTTCATCAGCCGCCATTTTGTTTTACTCCAGTAACCATGACAACAACTGTTTAATATTCATTATCTGACGTAAGCAAATATGACGTCATGAAAACATTGAAAGCTTAATTAAGACACTATCTCTATAATAGTAATACAGTTGATAATGTTCTCTCTATTGTGATTAAATGACCTTTTGGGCATTAACACTAAACAGTGACAATTGACGCCATTGACCTCTTTACTATAGTTATAATACACACACCATACTAGCTAATGTAAATTAGGCCAACACTTATCAACTTCAGGTTAGAATTTTTGTATATTAAATATCACTATGTCCCCTGAGGTATTAGATCATAGTGTCTGTGTGCATTGGTTGTGTCCCAGTATTGTGACTGCATGATTGAAGCACTCCTGTTCACATTATGCTGCATGAGAAGACGTCAATGAATGATGTAGCATGAATATGACTGATGTGAGACAAAACAATGCCTAAAAGTAAAACATTATAAATTTATTATAAAAATTAAAATCAATGGCCAACGAAAATTCCTTGCAGAATATATACCAGCTGCCTTTCTTCCTGCTCCTTTTTAGTATGTGGTTTTGTCCCGTGTGAAAGTAAACATGTATACCTTATACATTGCATGAAGATAAATCCCTTGTCCCTATAATCAGATAGTACACCACAATAAAGGACAATACAGTAAAGTATACTGTAGAGTATGGTCTAGACTCAATATCATGAAAGCAATTATTGTAGTGCGTACTGTGTCTGCACTCTGTGTTGTTGTATTGCTTCAGTTAATCTTATTCATATCTACTGGTGTGTGGGCAGAGCTAATTTGTTATCAGAGCTCAGCAGATAAGTTGAGCATGCATAGCATGCTGCACTATCATTATTAAATACGCCCTCTTCTCAGTCTTTATACTTCATAAAGTCTGCAAGCTGTGGTAGTTGGTTCTGTCCTTTCTGAATACTCTTATTTACTATTTTTAAAGAGGAAGAGCTGTCATTTAAGGAATACAGTTTTTCTGAAAGAGTCTCCTTTCAATTTGTACAAGTTTACACAGCTGAAACTACTTCATAGTAAAAGTAAGTTAGTTAGAGGTTGTATCGAAGCTGTAGCTGCCATTGTACTTGTGGCACATGTGCTTCTCTAGCATCTATGCTGCTATTTTGAGCCTTGAGGCTCTCTATTAATTTGCTTTGTCAATGGCGGGAACTTAACACTTCCACTCATTCATTCTTTGTCTAATAGTACAATGTCAACGGAGGCCAATACCTTTGTATTTATGGTGAAAGAGAATCACAAGAAGAAGAACAGCCAAAAGGATCGTTCACAACCGAGAATGTATGACCTTGAAGGATACAGAAGAAGAGTGGACTCTGTCATCTTTAGAAATGAAGACAGAGAAGAAGTAAGACATTTTTGTTAATTTAAATAATTATATATTTTATTCTCTTTCTTTTCCAGGTATTACTAGTCTCGTCAAGAGGGAGTCCTGGCTGCTGGACACTCCCTGGTGGAGGGATTGAACCAAAAGAGACATTCAAAGCAGCTGCAGTGAGAGAAGCACTAGAAGAGGTATTCATAATGACTGAACTTCCTTTTTGGTTTTCCAGCATTGTGGAATATTTAAATACAATACAATGTCAATATTGTTATTATTAATAATTATTTTTTGTTGTTATCTTTAGGCTGGGGTTGTGTGCCAGGCTGCCGAGAGTTTAGGCGTGTTTGAGGATAATGATAAAATGACAAGAACAGAGGCAATATGTCTGACGTATTGTAGAGACAACAGAGATGATGAACAATGGGCCGACCACCACGAATGTAAGCAATAAAATATTAGCTAATATTGATGGCAGCATAATGCTCCTCTTGATAGGGGGCAGATCAAGAAAGTGGTTCACCATATCAGAAGCAATAGACATTCTCTACTCAAGACAAAAGACAGAGAAGATCTCTTACTTCTCTCTCGCTGGGTGTAGATCGTTAAACTCTCCATCGTTACATGATTCCTTTTCTGATTCGTCTACTGTCTCTTCTCTCTCTCCTTCTCCTTGCGCTTCTTTTGGGTCCTCTCTAAATGACAAACCACTCACATTAACAGTATCATCTTAGATTTATATTATTTAAAAAATTATATAATTAACAATTTTTATATAATTAACAATTTTTATATAATTAACAATTTTTATAATTGCATGTACCATGCATGTAGATAGAATATTCTAATTAAGTGGTAGGCGTGGCATTGATCATTAATGGGTGTGGTTAAAGATGTATTGCTTACAATGGCTGCTGCCAGTACTTTTCATTCCCAAGTCGGCCTGCGCCATGGTCATGCAGGACCAAATGATGGTCATATTCCTATACCTCCTGGCATTTTTTATCCAAAGACGCCCCTGTGTCCTCTGTATACTAGTATTCACGATAGCAATCATTGTCATATGCAGTAGTGGACTCGGGAGCCTTATTGTCTGTGATTGGTCCCTGTCTATGTTTGGTGCGAGTATGTGTGAATTATTATGATTCATTTTTAAATGTATAATTTCAAACATTTTATGATTAAATGTTATATTAATATTTAAATGAGGATTGGTGAGGGGGAGGAGCATGTCTGGTTACTATAGAAACCAAATCAAAAAGAGGATAATCATGATGATGAAGATCAATCATTATTAACGATTAATGTGAGGTGACTGTTAGTTACGTGAGAGACAGTACTTGATGAGTGAATACATGAAAAGAGAGAGTAAAAGTAGAAGAAACACTAGTAGAAGAGGTACACCTGTCATACCAATTACCAAGAAACATAATATCATGTACGATAGCGTATAGTAGGAGCCAAAAACTCGCAAATTAATACGTGGGTGAGCCACACCCTCATTTTCATTGGCCAAGAGTAAAGGAACGCTCTTAGAAGTAGGCGTGACCGGAACAGGAGGAGGGACGGGGGAAGAGGAGGAGAGAGGAACGTGAGGAGGAGCAAGGAACTGACGGAGGAGCTTATAGAGAAACCTATCACTGGAACCAACCACTGCCAACTGATGAGAGAACTGAGGAGAGAGAGAGAGAGAGAGTAGTAATGACCATACATGTACATGGAAAAGATACTTGGTGGGTCAAAAAAACTAAAGGTAGCACACAGACTAAAGGTAGATATAAGATGCTGTGTACATGTACATGTACTGCATTACCTTGTTATTAAGATGTACTGATACTTTGTATAACAGTCGGACGAGTGCTTTGTTCTCGTAAGATCTGATTGGTTGAAGCATCGGATCACACAACGGCATCACTTTATTTCTATCGCAAACTCTAACGCCAGATTTCACCTAATTAATAATAGTAATAATAACAATCAGTTAATGAATATTAATCACTTGGTGTCTTCCTTCTGGAGTTAATTTACAAGAACCTTCCACATACTCGGCCTCTATTGAATCAGGAGGTGTGGCCAGGTGGGTGTGGTCAACATACTGACCGAGATTAGAGGCTGAGGGAGTTGGATGGTGAAGAGAAGGACTTCCATCAAAAGATGTGAAAGACGGGTTACCATATCCATCAGAACCAGGGAGCTGGAGAGATAGAATGAGATTAATATCGTCATGTACATGTACATGTACATGTATTTATTGTCACCTTAAAGAAGCGTCTCAGGTTAGTCTGGATTGAATCCAACTGTGAAACCAGTTTGACTGGATCAACTGGTTGAGTGGGTGTGTCAATCTCAGGTGGGTTAAAGAGTTCATTAAAGAATGATGAAAACCAGGACCTACATGTATAACGTATCAGTAAATCCCAGTATACTCTAGTAAATCACAGGGTATGCATGCAACACATTACTTTTTATTTTTTGTAGTCTCAGGCCCCTGAGGGGGACCATTTTTAGACAGCAACTGGTTCCGGGATTGTTGAATATTTTCAAGGAGGATCTGGAGCTAAAAGGAGGTCAAGTTTGGTTACTATAGCAATGAGATATTTACTGCTTGGTAAATAAGTTGATCAAAGACAGGTTGATAAATAAAGGCAGGGCCTTCAAGATATTCAAAGATATATTTAATATTGGAGGAGGAGTAGGAGAGAGAGGGGGAGAGAGAGGGAGAGGAAATGTCAGGAGCATCTGATAAATAAATCTCCTCTCCTAAATATTAGTAATAATAATAATATTATTATTATTATTTATGAACCATTTCTGATAAAATCAGTCAGGCTTGGCTGTGCAAAAACCTAAAAGAAGATACACATGTATTTCCATTATCAGACACTCTCTCCCTTACCTTAGCAACCCTGAACAGTAGCATCACTCCAGCATTGGAGCTCAGGTCCAGCTGGAATGCTCTCTCAATGAACAGGAGGTAAAGGGTTGTATAAAAGGGGAGGTTTTCCAGGACGTACTGTCTCCACCTCTTGGGAACTGACTCCAGTGCTTCTCTGTTCTCTGAGGATGGTTTCGTAGGGTCTGTGTACCTCCATGGCTGGAGGAATGTTAGCCACACCTCCAGCACCTGTGCAAAATTATGATTAGTACTTGTATGTGTGGGCGTGACTTACATAGCGGAATGTTTCGTCCAGTGGCCAGTGCTTAAGTCCGTTTTTAATGAATTGATAAATTGGCTTTTGAACAATATTAACAATAATGGATCTGAAATAATTATAAATAATTCCGTTACTATTATTAGCACATGTTACTATTATTAGCACATGTTACTATTATTAGCACATGTTACGCACATGTTTCTATTAATAGCACATGTTACTATTATTAGCACATGTTACTATTAATAGCACATGTTACTATTAATAGCACATGTTACTATTAATGGCACATGTTACTATTATTAGCACATGTTACTATTAATAGCACATGTTACTATTATACTATTAATAGCACATGTTACTATTAATAGCACGTTACTATTAATAGCACATGTTACTATTAATAACACGTGTTACTATTATTACTTACTGTCTGAGTGTTTCAGTGACAGTCACTAAAGGTGAATGAAACAAAGAAGTAGGTGTGGTTTGTTGAGTTTCTCTTCCATTAGTAAAGAAGAGGACGTGTTTCAAAAACATTCTAATGAACCGAACCTGCTCCAGCGACACACCAACACTCTGTAATGCAGTAAAATAAAACCAGGTGCTCAAAGGGTTAAAATCACTTGTGAGAATGGCACACGCCTTCCAGTTTGAGATGATTCTGGAGTCAACCAAAACTCAATCAAAGTCTAAAAACCACACCCACTCATTGTAACGCTAACGAAACTCTTACCTTAACAAATAACTCAGTTTGCATTCCTAGCTCGTTAACATAAGGGGCGGAGCCCGGGCTGGAATGAGCCACGCCTCCTCTCTGGTGACCACTGTACTTTAGTAAACCTAAGGGGGTGTGGCTTTGAGGAGAAGCCCCTACCGTAATGACAACAAGAATTTACTTACAATATACATTAATTACAATTAAATAGTTACCATATAAAGGACCTTGTCCTGGGGAAGATAAAGAAGGAGCTGTCCTGTGGGGTGCTGGTAGGAGACCGTTCACTGGCAAATAGAAATAGAAGTAATTATCAAGGAGAGAAGCATACAGGCAATCATGTAATGGAGACCAGGGGAAATGAGACTGCATGGAGGAAGAAATAGGGAGACATTACACACAAAGATTATAAAATGGCGGCTAGTATTGTTTAGTTACTTGAGAATTCCCACTGGTCTGTGTGTAAATGAGGTAATACGCAAAATGAAATATGTAATATTCAAAAGCAGCTGGAGAGAGAGAGAGAAATATGACATACAATAGAGAATAAACATTAAAATCTGCTGTACTGAGTTGTATGTGGTCAGGTGCCCTCTGGTTTCCTCCAGTGTAAGATGTTTGCACTTTTCCGTAATAAAATGGTGGAACCTCACCAACTGACAACAACAACTGACTGGAATACTAAATAATAAAACAAAATATTTATTAATTAAAATAAAATTAGTTATGCATTGCTTACAGGGAGGCATTTAATCGGAAACTCAAAATGGAAATTGTTGTCGTCCAGTTTTCCGATCAGTTGAAAGAGAGGACCCAAAGCGGAGAGAAACTCAAGGCCACTTTGATACTGGGTTTTATGATCAATTTTATTGCAAAATTTCAGTCTCCACCCAGGCCCACCATCGTAGCCAAATATGGTCGATAAGAGATGAGGGAACATACGATGAAGGTCCTGTGAACAGGGAGAATTAAGATCATGTGAGGATCACGTGATCTCACCTTCATTGATGCTGTGCTTATCTGATAGCGATAATTATTTGCTTGTTGCGTTATATTCCACGTGAGGCGACCAGGAGAATTAGAAGAGGAGGAAAAGGAAGAGCCCTACTCAGAGAAAGAATGTAAATACAATTGTAAAAGGAACGGACTGTGAATTGAAAAATCTTTAGTGGAGTCGCCATTTTCAAACTATTACACGTGGTTTCCGGATACTTCCGAATATGCAATCAAAGAATATCCGGAAGTCAAAATCAGTTATTAAAAAGAAGTGGTCTAGTGTTGTAGTTATTATAGTTATTAAGTGAAGAGCAAGAAAATGTCCTCCTTTAACTGTAGTCCTGTTTTAAGCGGTAGTGATGCCAAAGACGGCGGTGTGCCTCTAACACTAGCCCTGAACATATCCTTTGCTACTGTAAGACAAAATACTTACACTATAAACACCTCTCTCCTCTCTCTTTCTCTCTCTTTTTCTCCTCCATTAAAGGTTATACTGATTGCTTTTTGTCTCATGCACGTTTTTCTTAAAGATTTCATCATGGCAGCTGTCAAAAACAAGAGGTCATCATTACTCGTATATCAATTGAGTTGACGCCATTCATTTATTATTATTTATTATTATTATCATTATTAGTTTTATTATTATTATTTTATTATTTTATTATTATTGTGGTATGACAGGTGGCCACCCTTGCTCTATAGGCATAAAGTCGAAGAGAGGGGTGGGGAGGAGCAAGAGGGGGAGGAGCAAGAGACGGAGTCTGATGGTGATGACACTAGTGATGAGGACAGGAACAGGAGAAGAAGAGGAAGCAGTTTCATGCCAGGACGAGTACGGAATATAATCATTATCTTCTAATTGTTGCAGTAATGGCTGAGGCTATGTTCCTTTGTCCTTATGCTAGACATAATAATGTGTCTTTATAAAGTGTTAATATTCCTGTTGCTATGACAGCTGTGTATCGTTACTGTGGTAACGGCATGTATATGTATGGTAGCCGTGAAATCTGTTCTTATTTGTTTCTTTTTCTTGTAGGATTACTGTGAAACGATAGTTAAGTTTTTCACTATGAGGTGAGATTAATTTGCAAGTAGTTCAGACCTTGTACTGTAGCACTCCACTGTATAGTAGTGGGTACTGGGTACATTTTAAAATTTTGGACAACTTTAAAAATTTGTAAAAAAATCAAATTTTGATCGGAATCAGCTCAAACTTTCTACACAACATAAAAACATGTATATGCATCAGGGAATGTTATAAAAATTGAGAATTCTTTACTTTTCATTTTTGACAAAATTTGGCCCGAGACCATGTACTATAGTACAGGGTCTTTTGCCAAATTTTACCAAAAATGAAAAGTAGAGAATTCTCAATTTTTATAACATTTCCTGATACATATACATGTTCTTATGTTGTGTAGAAAGTTTGAGCTGATTCCGATCAAAATTGGATTTTTTACAAATTTTTAAAGTTACTCAAAAACCATACTACTAACTATACATTAATTTCTTTTAGGGAAAGAGACGTAAGAGTTAGAAGTGGACCTGACGCTAGTCTTTACTTGATGCTCCAGCTGTATTTATTAATCATTTTAATTATATTCTCATTCTTCTCAATCGTATTCATTTTACCAGTAAACTACCTCTCGGGAGACCTCCGTATGTAACATGTCGCAAATACTTCTTGAATTTATATCCTTTTTTGTATCTTTCTGTTTCTTTTAGAAGAGAAAAATTCTTTTGCCAGGACTACAGTAGCTAATTTAAAAGGAGAGTAAGTATGATGATGATAATAATAATAATAATAATAATAATAATAATAATAATAATAATAATAATAATAATAATAACAATTATTATAGTAATAATAATTATTATTTATTATTATTATCATTATAGGAGTAAGGCGTTATGGACCCATGTTCTTTTCTCAGTACTGTACGTGATTATTGCTGGAGTGTTCATGATCCATTACTATTTGAGACTGGGGAAACTACAGCATCAAGTGGTGAGTGTTTAATAACTAGCATTAATAACGGGGTTCTTATAACTAGTCTTTATAACTTTAACTGATTTTAATAACTAAATTTCGTTGCAATTTCTAGTCGTCTCATACTATCATGATATATGGTATTCCAAGTTTTGTACATGTTGAAGATCTCATGCAACATTTTGAGTTAGTTCTGTCTCTCTCTCTTTCTCCCTCTTTCTCTTCTCTTATCATGTGACAGTATTGTGATCATTATCTCATTAATTATTCATAGAGAGGCGTTGCCAGGCACCCAGATAATTGACATCAGGTTTGCCTATGACATCAACGATTTACAGAAGAAATGGAAGAAATTGTAAATTTATTTATTTATTTATTTAAATGAATGTGTTTTTGTTTGTTAATTTAGAAAAGAGGCAAATAATAATTTGCAGATTGCTGAAGCTTATGAAGCAGAAACTGGCAGGAAACGAATGATCCACTCCTCAAATTGCAACTGCTCAAATGATGATCTTGTGAGTGAAAGAGAGAGAGAGAAGCAGCGTCAGTTTATATATCTTCTTTCTCCTTAGGTTGATGCTAAGGAGTTTTATTTGACTAAAGTCGATCATTTAAAAGTTGCTGTTGCCATGGAGAGGAGCAACGCCCTCGCCCACAAACTTCCTATTGCTTTTGTCACATTTGCCAAAGGAGTCACACCAAAAGTGTAAGGTTTTTGTGCATAATAAAACTCCGTTGAATTAAAGTGCTAAACAGTGTCACTGTGTCATATCATATTCTTCTTCTAACCTTCTTTTCCTCCAGTTATGTTGAGTCATACAGGCCTTGTAGAAGGACACCACAGTCAAGTCTTTCTGACAGTATTAATTCTAATAATTGGGAACTCTTTTTGTCACCTCTCTCGTGGGATTTAATATGGTAATTATAAATGAATAAAATAAATTAATTAATTTGATACTATTTAGGGAGAATTTATCGTCTAATCGTGTAATTTGGTGGCTAAGATGGTTTGCTCTTAATTTGAGTTAGTTACGAGAGAAAGAGCAAAGGAGACAATTTTTTAATCTCTTCCTTCCTTTATTTTAGTTTTAATTTTGTTTGTAATATTCTTCACAACTCCGCCTGTCATTTTAAACAGCAGCGAAGAGATATGGATCTACTTTAAGCACAAAGCAGGAGAATTAGTAAAAGCAATAAAATTGAATGCATCGCAATTTTATCTCTCACCCCCTCTCTCTCCTCTAGAATATAACAATAAAGAATGCCACGGGATATGGCGTCCCTGGTTTTGTTCAGTCATATTTTGCATCATTTCTCAGCATCCTGTTAGCATCTCTGATGATGTACTGTATCACTAAGAGTGTAGCCTTTGAATATCACTGGTCAAAGTAATCATAATAGTCTATAATTAGTATCATTGCTACTATATTTAGTAACATGCTATATTTAGTAATGTGCTGTGTTGTTCTGTGTTTATATTTAATAACATGCAGTGTTGTTCTGTTTCTATATTTAGTAACAGGCTATATTTAGTAACATGTTTCTGTAGGTCTAGGGTTGAGCAAACTACGCTACGAAAAGCATTTCTATTTTTATCTTTGCAAGTTATAGTATTACCATCTCTTGGTTTAACGAGGTAATAACAATTGAGTTACTATTAATTAATTATTATTAATTATTATTAATTGTTATTAATTATTATTAATTAGTTTGAGTGCAGTAGCTGCTCTTATTGCACGTAATGATGAAGTGGGTATTGATAATCAATTAAGGTAATTAATTAATTTATTTATTTATTATTATTATTATTAATTAGTTGTGTGTTCCTCCCTAACAACGGTGCCTACTTCGTAGCCTATATTATCATAGCGACGTTCGTTTGGTCGCCATTGGAGTTGCTACGGTTACGGCAGCTAGCTATATATATCTATAGACGAATTAGAGCAAAGACTAAACTGGAGAAGCGACAGATTATCAGAGAAGTAAGAAAAGAAATTTTAAAATGAATGCTATGCTGCCCTTTAATGCTTCTAGAGAAGTTTTTTGGGATGTGTTTTAATGTCTTTATGTATCTAAAAATGGCTCCAAAATCACCCCAAATTTTTATTACATTTTCTGATACATATTGATGTCCTTATGCTGTGTAGAAAGTTTGAGCTGATTCCGACTTCAGTTTTTTAAGTTACGGCTATTTAAAGAAAATCTCAAAATTATGAAAAATACCCAAGGCTATAGCCCATGGTTTTTTCTGAAAAATGTTTCCGAAATCACTTCCAATTTTTATTACATTTTCTGATACACATTGATGTCCTTATGCTGTGTAGCAAGTTTGAGCTGATTCTGATAAATAATTTTTGAGTTATGGCCATTTTAATAATAATTGTCATCACTATTAATAATTATTAATTTTATTATTTAATATCAAATTCTCTAGTATGATTTCAAGTTTGGCTCTAAATATGCTTCTAACCTCATCATATTCACAATGACGTCGGCATTAAGCCTGACCACACCTCTCGTTGTACCGTTTGGAGCTTTGTTCTTTGGCATCAAATACCTGATTGACAAGTATAACCTGTTATATGGGTATAAACCAGTTTATGTGAGTGGACGACAGTACCTTCACAAGTCGGCCATGAAACTGGTGATGGTGGGTGTGGTCTTTGTTCAATTTGTGACTCTCTTTTATTCAGTTGTAAGAGAAGGTGAGAATTAACATCCATGTCACATGTTTATCACATGTTTGTCACATGTTAAGTCCATGTACATGTGTGTTATTAATAGTACATGAATAGTAAATAATTTAAAAGATCAAGATTAAATTAATGCTCACTCCATTACTGTTTTACATTCATCATCATCATTATTATTATTATTATTTTCTCAGGTTCTGTATCTGCTAGATCAATAGTCCTTTTAGTGCTACTGATAGTCACTGGTTTACTGTTATTTGGACTGTTGGTCCTTGGATGGTTCTCTTATCTTTTACCAAAAATAAGAATTAAAATGGGACAGGTTAGTGCAGCGTTACGTATCTCTCTTACTGTACTGTGGTGGGCATTAATTAGGAATACTCTATATTTGGTTTGAACGAAGAGGAGGAAGACAGAATAGTGGAGGTACTGTACAATAATTTATATGTATCTGTATCATTATTATTATTATTTTTAATTATTGTGCAATTTTTCTTAAGCAACATTAACTTATTGCCTAATCCATGCAATTTCTACATGTACATGTACATGTTATTAGTGATTTATTGCATAGTAATGTTACCATATTTGGTCATGTGTATATATTGGTATGTCCAGCTGGTGTGTCCAAACATTTAACTAATTTGGTGCTGCCACACCTGACATGCTATGATAACTAAAATGGACACGTGCACAGTCTGAGTCAGTCACACAGAGTCACACACTTGTACATGTATTATAAAATTACATCATGACCATATTTAAGCAGCTGCTTCCATATCTGCTAAATTTGGAATTTTAAACTTGTCACCCTATACTCTCTCCCTTTCCCCCTCCCCTAGCCCGGTGAATATGTCGCTCCTGTGTTAATGGCTACTGGTGATGAGATACCTGGAGATACTGTAGAGCAACATTTGGATAGAGAAGGGGAAGGAAAAGGAGGTGTGGCTCAAAGTTACGAGTCATTCGGTAGAACTATTGCTGGAGGTAAGGGAACATTATTAATACATACATACTGTGCATGTACTTATGTTATGTAGAAATGTATTACATAAGTTGCTCAAAAGTTGCGTATCTCTGGCCAAATTTTGCCAAAAAAAAATTAGAGAATTCTCAAATTTTATTAAATTTTTTGATACGTAATACATGTTCTTATGTTGTGTAAGAAGTTTGAATTGATTCCAATCAAAATTGGATTTTTATCAATTTTTAAGTTATTAAAAAATTGGGCTGAAGTCCTTGTACTATAGTACACGGTCTCGAGCCAAATTTGAAAAAGGAGAGAATTTTTTAGTTTTAAATTAATTATTTCTGATACATATGCATGTACTTTTGATGATTCTGATCAAAATTGGATTTATATTAATGATTCTTTTCCTGTTATTATCAGGTCAGATAAAGTTAAGTCCAAGTAGAAGGAGTGATGCTAAAAGGACTAGGGAGAAGGAGCGACCACCATCACTTGTTGTTGAAGAAGAGGATGGTGTTGTTGAAGAAGAGGGTGATGACATTGAAAATGAAATCAAAGACAATTAAACAACTACATATAAGAACACTGCCAATTGTTATCGTTATTATTGCATATTAAACTGAATTGTTAAGTTTTGTTAATGTGATTGTAGCCATTTTACTTTATTATCGTGCATTATACATGATCTTGTATTACTACTTCATGTGTAACTATTTTGACTTTTGTTATTATTAAAATTTGTAGGTCTTATTCTCTTCTTTAACTAAATTTCTGGTAGATATTAATTATTTAAAGAAAAAAGGAAAACAACACAGTATATAGTTCAGCACAATTACTAGCATATTTTCATCTAAAATAGCTAGAAAAACGTCCAAAAATTAATGATACATGTACATTGTAAATAGCATCACAGGAGTATACCCTCTTTACTAGTATATACAATAATAACAAATATCAGTATTCTTAAATGTACATGTACTGCATATATAATTGTTTAAATGTCTTTAAAATTGGGCAAGTCCCTGTACAGTACATGGTTTTCAAGTCAAATTTCACCAAAATTGAAAAGGAGAAAAATTTTCATTTTTATAATTTTTCTGATACATATACATGTACTTACATGTATAATTATAATTGGATTTGTATTAATGATTGTTTTCCTGTTATTATCAGGTCAGATAAAGTTAAGTCCTAATAGAAGGAGCAGCACTAAAAGGACTAGGGATAAGGAGCGACCACCATCATTTGTTGTTGAAGAAGAGGATGACACTGAAAATGAAATCAAAGACATTTAAACAGTTATATATATATATATATATATATATATATATATATATATACACATGTACATTTAAGAATACTGATATTTGTTATTGTTGTATAAACTGAATTGTTGTTTTTTGTTTTAGTGTGACTGTAATAAAGAAACTATTTAATACTTATTACTATTATTGTTGTTGTTGTTGTGCATTATACATGATCTTGTATTATTTTTGTGTGTAACTATTTTGAGTTTTATTATTATTATTATTATTAAAATTTGCACTTGCAACAATTTTTTCTTTTCATAACTAAATTTTTTATTATTAAAGAAAAACAACACAATACTATAAAGATCAATACAGTTGTCTATGGTGCATGAGAGTTTAAACTACTTGTACTTGTACTTTAATGGCAAAAGACAAATTTAAACTAACATAAAATGTCAAAAAACAATACATAATTATACATGTTTGTAGATAGCATTCATCATTAATTATTAGCTGTCCCTAGTAAATTACTGTTAATGGTTAATATAGAAGCACTGCACCATTGCTATTCATGCATGGCCCATATAATAGTGCATAAAAAATTGCCTTAATCATTTAAAAGTTTGTTATTATTTCATTCATTCTAATTTGCTATCAATACTTGATAGATCAATCTTGCAACGAATGAATATTGCATCCCCTTTTGTGAAATTGGGATCTTTAAGGTAGCTCTGTTTTGCAAAGCGAGGAAAACCTGAAGCTATATTCATCTCTGACTTTGGCTGCTGGAAACTTGGTGACTGGAGGTCAGGCATAAAGGTTTCAGTGACATTATTACCAGAATTGCTCAAATTGAGTAGCTGGAAGGTTACAGGACTCTTAAATGGCCAGCTGAGGAGATTATCATGCTCACTTTTCATTAAAACAAAGAACACACTTATGTGTGTGCCTTTGCCAGAGCCATCGCCATTAAGGTAGGCCCTGATACACATCCTGTACCCATGGGGTGAGGTATGGAAAGGAGGAGAATAGAGCGAGAGAGTGCGTCGCTGCTGGGCATCAGCGTACCTTCGTGCTATCTCTGGTATTTTCCATATAAAGACACCATTAGTGGTTTTGACATCAAGAATATCTTGTCTAAGCTTTACCTCTTCCATTAGCACCGCATGACGTGTAACACTTTCTTGAACTGTCTGGACTACCTCTAGATAACCTGCTATCTGGCTTTGATAATCTTGAAGAACAGGTTTTATTAGATCCACATCTTTCTGGAGCTTATGCACTGTAGCACGAAGCTCCTCATCTCCACTAGAGTAACTAGAAGGCATACTTGAACTACCGGTATATGCACTACTAAAACCTCCTGAACTACTACTGGAGGCCATGCTAGGCATTTGGCCCCTTACAAAATTACCACTACCATACCCAGGGTCACCTCCTCTACCATCATCATCTAATCCAGTGAACCTACGACCAGAATCAGCAGCTATCAAGCTTTCTTGTGTTACTTTATTAAATTTTGTAAGCTCTTCAGTGAGATCATTGATCTTTGCTTTCAATTGAGGCACCTCTTTAACCTGGAGCTTTAGATTTGTTATTTCTTTTTGTAGACTTCCAACTGTGACTTGAAACTTAGTTTCTAGCTGGTTAAGTTTCTGCATCAGAGTGGCTATCAGCTGTGATGCATCTGGCTTGTTTTGGCAATCATTTTGTATGTGGTTACTCAATTCATTTCTACTCAATCTCTGGCCACATCCTTGTGGGCAGGGAACTACAATGTAGACACAGCTTTCAACATGAATCTACAAAAATTAGAAAAATAAACACGTAAAAATACTGTGTGTATGCTTAAAATAACATCACTATAACTATCACTATCACTGATCAGCTGATAAGTTATTGCTGACTGGCCTTCCTTTGGGAAAACATTAAGGCAGGGAAAGTACAAGGGACTTTTTCTGTAACATAATCACAGCAACAAAGCATGACTAGCATAACTATAAACAGATTCAAGGGGCAGTCAGCAACAAAACATGACTAGTATAACTATAAACAGATTCAAGGGAAAGCTAAGACTGCACGGGGTTTCAAAACATAATACTGGCTCATTGAAACTAGTCTATAAACATGTCATAATCACCTCTGCTTCAGCTACAGTCCCTCTCCAAGTGCAGCCATTTTCAGATCCTCCACAAGCAGCAGTCAATGAGTTGATTTCTTTAGCACAACCTTTATCTGGTCTTACATCATTTTTAGTTACTGGCTCTTTATCTTCAGGGCAAACTGGATTACTGGAAAAAAATTATTATTATTCAAATAATAAAATAAAAATAATTATTCAAATAAAAAGGTGCTATTTTGCTTAGTATGCTTCCAATAACTTGTTATTGTTATGATAAATTTCGTAGTCAATTTCGTTAATTTGTTAAATTTCATTTCATATGAGCTGCATCACAAAATCAGTTTGAAAGATGTACTCACTTCTTCTTCAATACAGTCTCCAACAGACAGGATCTACAAATACGATGACCACAGTTTAGCAACTGGTACGGTTCTCGCAACAGCAATGAACACTCAGAACAATGGAGAGCTTTTATGTCATCTTCACTCAATTGTTTTGTACCACCCTTATTGTATAAAACAATATTTGATACTTCGTAACCACCTGGCCTTTCCTCCATTATCTTAACAACAATCCTTCACTCTGTTCTTGTAATAATGATAAATAGGTTTTCTGAGGGTCCAGTTGTAATATAGTGACAATACCGTGTTCTCTGAGATAAAATCAAGTAGAGGAGGAAAATTCAAAATGGTGACAGTTCGAGCAGTAGTGAAAGCAAAATTAGCAAGAAATTCCACCTGCTCTACTTGAACCAAAGACATGACTGTAGGGTAGACATTTTGAAAAATGAAAAAAAATCATAAACCATACATTTCTTGATTGGTTACTACTTATATATACCTTAAAATGGCGGAAAGTTCCTCCATTTTTTGCTGACACATTCTTCTATTTCCCCTGGGTATTCCCCGGTACAAATATGGACATGTAAAGTATGACGTGGCATTACGTTGTTTATATTTAATATTGCTTAGCTATGCATTTTAACTTGCTTACAGCTAAGAAATTATTGTTTATGACAGAGTTACACAATCTATCATCTTTGCTGAAAGAGGCTATAATAATATGAGTGTGTGTATGTGTGCAAACTGCGAAGAGTATAATAATTTATTGTTCTCATTTTTGATCGTCTTCTTTGACAGCTGTTACACACTTTGCCATCGTCTGTGATGCTCTGCTAATTGGGTCAGTCATATAGAACTGATCCAATGACTTCATATCAACCC